ATTTATCATATCAAAAGATTTCTTATTCAAATTACACAAAATTTCTGCATTTCTAGGAAAAGAGGGGCAGGTCATTTAAATAAGAATTAAATTTCTAGATTTTGCATATCTTACTCTCCTAAATTGTGTTTAAGGCAGCAATCTCAAGAAAGCTTAGATTCGTTTATTTTTGTGAGTTCTCTCTCTCTCTCTCAATATATTTTTCGAAAAAGGAAATGTATTAGGAAACGGCTGTCCGGCCATACGAAATCACAAAATCACAAAAACACAAACACACACGCATACAAACGCAAGGGCAAGCATGAAAACCGTTAAGAGGCTAAATTGAATCGAAACTGCATTGTGGCTAGTTTCATTTTCATATTAATATATATATATATATATATATATATATATATATATATATATAATATATATATATATATATGTATTATGTATATGTATATATATATATATATATATATATATATATATATATATATATATATATATATATATATATATATATATATATATATATATATATATATATATATATATATATATATATATATATATATATATATATATATATATATATACATATATATATACATATATATATATATTATATATATATATATATATATATATATATATATATATATATATATATATATATATATACATATACATATACATATACATACGCACACACAGACACAACACACACACACACACACACACACACACACACACACATATATATATATATATATATGTGTGTGTGTGTGTGTGTGTGTGTGTGTGTGTGTGTGTGTGTGTGTGTGTGGTGTGTGTGTGTCTGTGTGTGCGTGTATGTATATGTATATGTATATGTATATTATATATATATATATATATATATATATATATATATATATATATATATATATATATATATATATAATATGTATATATATATATATATATAATATATAATATATATATATATATACATATACATACATACATATATATATATATATATATATATATATATATATATATATATATATATATATGAAAATGAACTAGCCACAATGCAGTTTTCGATTCAATTTAGCCTCTTAACGGTTTTCATGCTTGCCCTTGCGTTTGTATGCGTGTGTGTTTGTGTTTTTGTGATTTTGTGATTTCGTATGGCTGGACAGCCGTTTCCTAATACATTTCCTTTTTCGAAAAAATATATGACTTTCATGAATGTAAAATTCGATATACGATATCATATTGACAGGATGAACATGGAATGAGGCTGAATTCTCGTGTGAAGGAGTTTTAAAGCTTGAGAAAATTGTTTGATTTAACAACATCGAAACGACAAATAAATAAAAGTGAATTTATATTCTTGAAAATCTGTCGCTTTTTACTCTATCTACAATTTCTTCTTTCTCATTCTCATTCCTGCCTATTATTCTCTCCTCCCTCTCTCCTCTCTCTCTCTCTTCTCTCTCTCTCTCTTCTCTCTTCTTCTCACACTCCATCATGCGAGCCCTACTCACTCTACCCCGCCCCCCCCTCTCTCTCTCTCTCTCTCTCTCTCTCTCTCTCTCTCTCTCTCTCTCTCTCTCTCTCTCTCTCTCTCTCTCTCTCCCCTCCTTCCCTCCCTCCCTCCCTCCTCTTCGCTTCCCTCCTCTCACGTTCCGGATATCGAAAATTGTCATAGAATTGGACACAATATTTCCCTGGATATTGCAAAATACGTTTTTGGTACATAATGCAGTACTGATGAAATTTTATTCCATCCGCTTGTGAGCTTTTCATTGCGTGTGTGTATTCGTGTGTATGTGTGTGTGTGTGTGTTTGTGTGTGTTTGTGTATGTGTGTTTGCTTGTTTTGTGTATGTATGTGTGTGTGAGTGTGTGTGTGTTTTCTTTTGCGTGTGCGTGTGTATGTGTGTGTGTGTGTGTGTGTGTGTGTGTGTGTGGTGTGTGTGGTGTGTGTGTGTGTGTGTGTGGTGTGTGTGTGTGTATGTGTGTGTGTGTGCGTGTGTGTGTATGTGCATATTGTTGAGTGTTCATACGACCGTCCTGCATTACAAAAAAATATTTTCGTAGAAAACATAACATCGACAATAAAGCGAACGTAAAAGTAAAAGACATTTGTTTTTTATATTTGGTTAAGATTACGTAAAATGTTTGTGCGAATTGCTATAAAACTGGAGAAAATAGTTTTGTTTTTAACGCTTAGCCAAACATTCGTGAATTCTTTTATCAACATAAGACAAAAAATATATATTTACATTTCTGAAAAATCTTTTAACTTTTCCTCGTTCTATACTTTCTCTCTCTCTCTCTCTCTCTCTCTCTCTCTCTCTCTCTCTCTCTCTCTCTCTCTCTCTCTCTCTCTCTCTCTCTCTCTCTCTCTCTCTCTCTCTCACTCTCTCTCTCTACCCCTTTCTGTGCTCTCTTACAATCTCTCTCTATCCCCCCTTTCTCTCTTTATCTATTCATTCATCTCCCTGTCATTCTCTCTTTCTCTCTCCCACTCATTCTCTCTTCTTTTCCTCCTCCCCCCACCCTCTCCCACTCTCAAAAAAGCTTTTAGATAAAGTATGTCAACTCATTTCTCTCCTCCCTCTCATACTCGAAAACGCTTTTGAATGGAAATAAATGTTACTTGTTAAAATAGGTATTTGCAGAGACATCCTCTCATGACTGTAACATGAAAGAGGAATATGGAATAGAGAATATATTCTTTTCCCCCTTTCAATCCTATTCGTATCTTCGTCTTTGTTTTGTTTATTCATTTATCTATGTTTTTTCTGTTTTTTTTTTATCAACAAGGCTTTGCACGTTTCATTTCGTACAAAGAGGAGAATGGGTATGAAAAAACAGACTCTCATTTTTTATTTTTTCCTTTGTCTTTGTCTTCCTTTGCACTGTATCTCTTCCCTGTTTTGGTGGGGGGGTGGGGGGTGGGGATTCCCCATTTCCTGTTTTGATTTATATCTTTCGCTTTGATTTATATCTGTCTGTCTGTCTCTCTCCTTGTCTGTGAGTCTGTCTCTGTGTCTCTGTCATCCCCCTTCTCTCCCTCTTTCTCTTTCTTTCTCTCTCCTTGTCTGTGAGCCTGTCTCTCTCTCTCTCTCACCCCACTCCCCCGTTTCTCTCTCTCTCTCTCTCTCTCTCTCTCACTCTCTCTCGCTCTATCTCCCTCCCTCCCTCTTTCTCCTCCCTCGCCCTATCTCCCTCCCTCCTTCTTTCTCTCTTTCTTCCTATCTCTCTTTCTCGCACACACAATTAATCTCTTTTTTCACCAACTGCTTATGAATACGACAAAAATGGAATAATCAAGATCATCAAAATATCTCATAAAAAAAAGACATATCCATACAACAATCTATATACAAATATATATGGAAATAGACACAGATATACGGATATGCAAATAAACATATAAATGAAAAAAACAGAGATTATAGGCAAAAAGACAGACAGACAGATGAACAAGACTTTGATTGATATATAAATGACATAATGCAGTAGCAAGCGAACACTTAAAAGCCATTCATAGATGAGAGAAACAATTTATCATACAAGAAACGGTGTGGATATGGTAATCAGATCATGAATATTAATGAGGCAGGCTCGAGCACAATTTAGAAGGATGGAAGGTAGGAAAAGGGAGAAGAGACATAGGCAAGGAGAAAAGGAATCGCAATGAAATAAATAATGATGATATGAGATAGGTAGATAGATAAATAGACAGATAGAGGACGGGAGAGAGAGAGAGAAAGAGAAAAGATAGAGAGAAATAGATAGATAGATGGAAGTGAAATAAAAGATAACGGTGAGAGATAGGTAGATTGAATATACATATATATATATATATATATATATATATATATACATATATATATATATATATATATATATATATATATATATATATATATATATATATATATATATATATATATAATATATATATATATATATATATATATATATATATATAATATATATATATATATATATATATATATATATATAGATAGATAGATAGATAGATAGATAGATAGATAGATAGATAGATAGATAGATAGATAGATAGGTAGAGGACGGGTGCGTAGGAAGGGAGGGAGAGAGAAGGAGAATAAAAACATACACAGAGAATTAGTTAGATAGCTAGACAGATGATTAGACAGAAGGAGAGAGGAGAAAAAAGAAACAACAGAAACTGAGGAAAAAAAATTGAATAAGAGATGAACAAAAAAAAAAAGGCAAAAAAAAAAAAAAAAAAGAAAAGAAAAGGAAAACAAAAAAATAACGAACGAATAAATATGAATGAATGAATAAAACAGATAAAGAAAAAGATAAGAACATATATGAAAAAAAATAAACAGGCGAACCAACGAGCAACAAAAAACAACAGATCCCTCCCTCTCTCTCTCCAAAATAAGAAAAAGAAATAAAAATAGATAGATAAGATAAAATGCAATAAAAAACATAAACATTAACAAAGGAATACAGGTACACAAACAAACGAACGAACATCTAAATAAACAAAATAATAGAAAAAAAAACAAACAACTTTCCTTCCTCACACGTACGCAGAAAAACAACAACAACAACAACAAAAATCCCCCCTAACAAAAATGAAGGTAAAAGGAGAAAAACGATAAAAACAAAACGAAAAAAGAGGAAAAGAAAAGAAAAAAAAACAAACTCCCCCCACCAACAAATATAAAGATCAAAGGAAAAAACGAGAAAAAAAACAAAAAAGAGGAAAAGAAAAAAAAAAGAGAGAGAAAAAAAAAACAAAACAAAAAAGAGGAAAAGAAAAAAACAAAAAAAAAAGAAAATGAAGAGAGAAAGAAAAAAAACAAGAAAAAAAAAGAAAAAAAAAGAAAAGAAGACGAAGAGAGAGAGAGAAACTAAGAATAAAAAACAAAAAAACAAAAACAAAACAGAAACAGAAAGAGCCTCGAAAGGCAGACACAGCGCCCCCCACAACCACGTTCGACCACAAACACTTAC